GAAAAGATTTTAGCTACTGAATCAAAAGATGAACTCAAAAGACTTCTTCAAGAACTTAGGCGTGGGAGTCCTCCTCCAAACAGTTCTCCTCCTTCTAGTTCTACATCTCAAGTTCCAGCTTCTCAGAATTTATTTCAAGATAGTCAAGACCCTTATGAAGATTATTTTTAATCTTTAAGGTGTTGAGTGTGTTTGGGTATTGCTTTTGCAAGCAATTCTTTGTATCTATTCAAAATATATCTTATCAAAACACGTGAAATACGCCCTTTGGTATTTCCGATAACATCTTGTTCAAATCTTTTATCTTATCAAAAATATGCAGGTTTATGATACGGTCAACTAAAATTCAAGGTGCTAATAATGCTGCTGAATTTTGGGCGGGGGAAACTACCACATGGATGGTATAACCCCTAAGTACTTGAGTGTAGTTTGTGAACATGACGCCCTCCGCCGAAGCTTCTTTGCCAGTTCACTGGAACCCCCTACACGGGATTAATACACCGTGAGTTCCCTGCCCTGATAACAATTGACCTCAGTCAAGATCCGGGTATGGTTTCTCACAGTGTACGATAAACTTTCCACTGTTTATCTTCTTGAAGATTAAAAGATTGAGTAGAAATTATTGGTTCTTTTTGTTTATTGAAAAGTTTATTAGTTATTTGATTTTTAATTTCTTTATCTTGAATTTTGTCTAGAAGTTCTAAAATTTCTCTTTCTTCATTTGTAATAACATTTATTTGATTACAAGTGCATTTTCCGATACACTCGCAGCTTGACTCAGATTCTTCAGATGAAGAATAATCTTGGACAAAATTAAGATCGTAGTATGAGATATCTGATTCATCTTCAGAACTGTTATTATTAAGAATTAATCTACTAATTTGAGCCTTTAGTTGATCAGAAATATCTAATTCATTAATTCTTTTCTTAGCATAGCAATTTTTTGCCATGTGACCGGTTTTACCACATTTATAGCATATTACAAGATMTTTTGATTCTTTTTGATTAGTTTTATTGGGTTTTTTATTAAATTTTTTGTAAGACTTTTTACTTACHHTTTTATCTTTGTATTTTTCTTCATGTTTATTTTCTTTATATTTATTCTTTGAAAATTTCTTTTTTGARWAWTTTTTATGTTTTGATTTTGAAGAAGATGGTGTTGAAATGGGTTGATAACCATATTGTTGACAAAAGTCTCCTAATTCATTTTTACTTGTAATTTTATCTTTTTTGAGTTTTGCTTTAAGTCTTAAATCTGAACAAATTGATAATCCTTCTTTATTGACGTAACTTATTAATTCACCATAAGTTAAATCTTTATAAGGGATTTGATTAGCATATTTTTCTCTTAGAGTATTTCTTATTTTTTCTGCGAATAGATTTGGTAGACCTGCAATAAATCTTTCTTTCCAGTAAGCTTCTTTGCAGTCTGGTCTTAACATTACTTTGGTTAGAAACATATCTTTATA